TGAGTGCATATTATTGGCAAATAGCGCTCAGATCCCATACGTACAGTTCAATCGCCATGGAGTCAACGTCTATTACAGTCTTTCGGTATGCGATTGACTCCATGGGAAGGCTATCTGGGTTAAGTCCATTCGTGCGTTTAAAACTCCCGAATGGCCAGTGTTCGTATACTTCTGTCAATTGAGAAGGGAGGTCGGCAGCTTCAGCGGTGTTCGGTGGAAAAAGTGTCAGTTTTCAGTTCCATGAAATCAATGCCGAACACCGCTGGTCTTTCGCATGGTTTAAAATGGCCGCCGCCTCGTGGTCGACATACGGACGACCACCCTGTATTCGGTTTTAATTGAGAAGTGTCTGCGGTTAACCACAACTTTCTAATTGGGATCACGAGGTTAACCAGCAGCACACTTCTCTTCTGGGTGGCCGTCCGTTCGGTAGTTTGTTCAGCAAAAAACGTCCATTATACGAACAGAGGCATACGAATGAGTAATTCCACGAAAACGGCAAAACAGACGAACCAGCAATCCCAGGTTATACAGATGGATCTGTCACATATGTATTTTATATTAGGTGATTGGCCCCCACCTGCAGGGAGAAATCTTTTTTTACTTTCCTCTTCTCTCTTTGATGTCTGGCTGGCCCCACCTCCTTGGTAGAGATAATTGTGATTGCCAATCCAATGCTCTCTTAATCCAATGTTTGGGAGGCAAGTGTGCAATCAGATGTTTTTTACTTTGATAATTCTGTGGAAGCTCCTCTAATAGTTGTCTGAGTGACAGTCACTATGTGCAAGTTAATCCTGCAATGTAGATACTACCATTCCTGCAGTATGGCAAAGTTCACTGGTTAAAATGAGGGGGACATGGCACCTAGACCCCTTGATTGAGACACATCAGTGAGATGAAGTGGTCTTGGTGGTAATAGTGCCCCTTTAACCTGTACATTCTGCTGGGCAAATCACCTCGAATTCTGCAGTTTTTCAAGAACTCGTCTTGGAATCATTTCATTATTAGCCCTTTAGAAATGACCCCTCCAATTACACCATTTGTGACTTGTCAATATTTGGAGTTAAGTGTACAGTATACAGTGTGGAGATATTGCTGCGGGTGATGGGGTTGTAATGCATTCAGTAAAATGTTTCCTTTAGCAAGGTTTGAGGTTAATACCTCAGTTGGGCTGCTCAGGGTGTCACTTCCTCCCCTCAGCTCACACAGAAAGTAAAGTTTTATATTTTCAGAACTGACAGCAACAGAAAGAGAGACCACAGCTGCACAGCTCTGAAACCGATTACTCTGTACTCTGATTACACAGGATACGAGAGTGCTGCTAGCCACATTCTGTCAGAGACTGCTTTTCTAATGTAATCACTGCCTTTTTTGAAAAAAGGCAGTGTTTACATTGCTCCCTAGGAACACCTCTGGTGGCAGTCACTCAAACGGCTACTAGAGGTGCTTCCTATATCAGTGCTGCGCACTGTGCAACGCTGACTTTCATCATCTCCACGCTATGCATGGAGGTCCTAAACGTTCCACATTGATTAAATGCATCTCTATGAGGATATGCTAATTAATGCAGGGCGCGAAGCCTGCCAATGCTTTCCTATGAGAAAGCATTGGATTGGCAGAGATTGCCTGATATGATAATATTGGCTAAGGAGGTGGAGTGGGGGTGGGGCCAGATATAGCCAGAAAGGTGCACCATGGAAAAAAACATGAGTAAAACACCTTTTTTAATGGGGGAAAAGGGAGGCCAGCCACCTAATCTGTGGTTTTAGAACTATAGTGTCAGGAATACACGTTAGTATTCCTGACACTATTGTTGTCCTTTAAACAGCAGCTGGTCAGATTACATAGTTGAGCTACCTACTAAACACGCCCTAATTTGTTAATTTAAGAAGGGCAATCCCACATCAGGGCACCAAATTAGGGAGCTATCTACTAAACCGTGCTCTACTTTGGTATCTTAAATATTGAAATCCCACATCAGGGTACCAAACAAAGTGAACCATCAACCAAACAGCACAGACATTTGGTATCATTAGGCAATTTTACATAGGGGCATCACATCAGGGGGGCTATCTATTAAACACCTAATTTGGTTTAAATAGGACAATCCCACATCAGGGTCTCAATATAAAAAGAAATGAGGTAAAGGTAACTGGAATATCTAAAAAGAGTTTAAAAATACAATACAAAACAAGAACTGTGATGCAACACCTCTCAATCCAGCAGTGTGGTTTAAGCAAATCCAAGAAAATTAGATGTGCATTAGTGTGCACACCACGGTGCTACCAATCTTTTATAGAATGACAATTGTGGCGAAACCGACCTCGCCACTGAGCATCGGAGAAGACTGATTGCCAGCCTCCTGCCATGTGACTATGGCCCCTGAGATGTATTGCCCTTTAAAGACATGATTTGGGCATAATGGATTTGTGTTGTGCTGCTACTGGCCCTTTAAGAACCATCTGGGGACATACTGTGGAGTTACTGGGTGGCCACCATTTCATGTATCAGAGGCACATGGTGAGAACAATGGATGAAGCAGATGGTGAGAACAATGGATGGCGGCCATTTTAACTCACAGACACTGTTTGGACTTTTCAACACGGTGCCATCTCGCCAGTATTTGTTGCACAGAGACATTGTGCGGTGGTTTTGGACTATACAGCAGGGGACACATTATACAGTGATTGTTTTTCATTTAGCCTGTATATGTTCTGCAGAATCTGCATTAAACCGTATCTCCCAAATTACTGAACGGATCTGGGTGAATTTTGGATATGTGGTTCACCCAGATCCCCTGGTTCCGAGGATATTTATTAGGTTATTGCATGTTTTGGGGTCCCTGTGATGTGTTTTATGATACTGTATTTTTCCTGCTTGTGATAATTATGTTAACCCATTGTGTGCCATAATTAGGCAGAGGGGAGGATTTTTTGTGTAATTGCTGTGAGTGTTTTCTGTAATGTACGTGTGTTATTGGTTGTTCTGTAAAACCCTGTGGGCAGTACTAAGTTTGTGGATTGGGAATAAAAGAGGCTGTATGTGCCAGTACAGTCAGTTCTGCTTGACCTCAAAACGAAGTGTCGTCTTGTTATTGGGGGAATTGGATTGTATGCTGATTGCCAGGAGTGTAAGCTGATTGTATGCTTTTCCTGTTCAGCTGCTTACAGCATTCATATGCTTGAGAGCATTCGTATGCTTCTCCGGTTCGGTGGGTGTGGTGTCTGCTACAGTGCTTGGAGTCCTCAGGAAGCGCTAGGAGCATCCTTCAACAGAGGTACCCAGTCAGGGTGCCAGGTGATCCGTTACAACAATGTTATATGGCAAACATTTCGGGCACAAGCCCTTTGTCAATGCAAATGTCCTTTTGTCCATTTGCATTGACAAAGGGCTTGTTCCTGAAATGTTTGTCATATAACGTTGCCTTTCCACATCAGGGTCCCAAATTAAAGAGCTTTCAACAAAAACAGCACCCAAAATCTCATGTAAGGGTACCAAACTAGAAACTAAACAACGCCCTAATTTGGTATCTTAAATATTGCAATCCTACATCAGGGTATCAAATTAAAAGAGATATCTACTAAACAGCGCCCTAATTTAATTTCCTAAATAGGGTGATCCCACGCCAGGGTACCAAATTAAGGAGCTATCTACTAAACAGTGCCCTAATTTGATATCCTAAAATAGGCAATCCCACATCAAGATACCAAAGTAAAAGAGCTATCTACTAACAGGTCCCTAATTTGGTATACTAAGAAGGGTAATCCCACACAAGGGTACCAAACAAGGGGAACTATCTACTAAAAGCCCCCTAATTTGGTATACTGAGAAGGGCAATCCCACATGAGGATACCAAACAAGGGGATCTATCTACTAACAGCCCTCTAATTTGGTATACTGAGAAGGGCAATCCCACATGAGGATACCAAACAAGGGGACCTATCTACTAACAGCCCCTAATTTGGTATACTGAGAAGGGCAATCCCACACCAGGGTACCAAATTAGGGGAGCTACCTACTAAACAGCTAACAGAAAACAAAAAAGGGATTTAGCAATGACATGCACACTTCCCAAAGTGGGCATGTCAGTGGGAGGCTCCTCCAGGTCAGCTTGTACATTTTTGGTACATAAATGATTGTTACAAGATCGTTCATATTAATAACTTCATGAAAAATAGGAACATTGGAGTGGGATGCACTGTGGAAGGCAACACTTCCGGTTTTGCTAGATGGAGCAGTAGATGAAATGCATGGTGAAACATATGATATCATCGTGCCCGGAATTTAGCAATGGAAGATCACACTCAGCTAGAGGCAGGAAGCACCAATAGGAATTGAAGCAAGACAGTCATGGGGGTTTAAAAAGACTCCAAAGGGGAGTGGAGATTTATATTTGTTTTTTATGTTTTGTTTATATTTAAAGGTTCCTAAAAGTTCGAAATGCGTAGCACAACCTGTGGTGACTCTGTTTGATTTTTTTATCTCTCAAATCATGGTCTATCCTTGCTGAGAGCGAACACTAACTTTGGACATCTGATGAAATACCCATTCCTGGAAAATCACCTACAAGGCATTATTTGGCATACAAAGTGTGAGTGGCCAATTGGAAAACATACCGTTATAATTTATCATGCACAATTATACACTAAGTTGTTTTTTTATTCTGTTTTGTTTGCAGAATTTCCCCTATTTTTGTTTGTATTTTTATTTGGAGGCTAGAGGAAGTCTTCGGGGGACACATTCTTCTCTGTCAAGCAAAGTTATTTCTTTACATATTTTTTTCACATGACAGGTGCATTGTCGACATATGGGTAGGATGAGCTGTCTACTACCTTATACCAACCCACCCCTAATAAAACACTGACACTCTTAGGTATGGGTCAATACATCCACAGCTTTAATTTTATTATTATTATTATGATGATGATATTTATAGAGCGCCGTCAAATTCTGCAGCGCTTTACAATGGGTGGACGAACAGACATGTAGTTGTAACCAGACAAGTTGGACACACAGGAACAGAGGGGTTGAGGGCCCTGCTCAATGAGCTTACATGCTAGAGGGAGTGAGTTAAAATGACACAAAAAGGTAAGGATAGTATTAGACTAGTGACAGTTGCAGAAGAGGAATCAGTCAGGAGCTATTAACAGTTTAATTAATACGCTTTTATGAAGAAGTGGGTTTTTAACGATTTTTTGAAGGAGTGGAGACTGGGTGAGCATCTAACGGAGGAGGGAAGCGAGTTCCACAGGAACGGTGCAGCCCTCGAGAAATCTTGAAGGCGAGCATCAGAGGTGGGAGTACGGACAGAAGATAGACATAAGTCTTCAGCAGATCGTAAGGGCCTAGACGGGACATACTTGTGTAAAAGGGAGGATAGATAGGTGGGAGCAGCATTATGTAGAGATTTGAAAGCAAGAACCAGAATTTTAAATTGAGCTCTATATTTTAAAGGAAGCCAATGTAGGGACTGACAGAAGGGTGAGGCAAATAATAATAATAATAACAATAACATATGAATAACTTTTTAAAGTCATTGACCACCCCCAAAAGCTCACCAATCCAATATTATTACTTCCCCACATATCAAATCACAAGGCAATGACCCATTAATATAACATAACATAGTATAACAACACGTAAATATAGCATAAACAAGATCCAACATTTTCCACACGATCCTGGTAGGGGTATACCTTGATACCCCTACACCACCCGAGTTCTGAGCTACCAACAAGCTTAAAAACCCACTAACATCTTACCAACAGGTAACCAACCATATTAACCAGCCAACTAACTACTGTTGCTCTTCTCTTCCCTAAGCAGGCCTGTTATCCCCTTCCTTATACCAGCCAGAAGTTCAGACCTTAAACCCTTAAGCCATCTGAGCTCCACCCCTCCTCCCCCCAAAGAAACAAAG